CTGCAAGCCTGAGTAGGTAATATTTTAGTCAGTATGAGTACGAGTCGATACGCTCGAGAAAAATTTTTGTGGTGGTAGTGGTAAAAACTTTTATTTGATGAGGAGAGGTGATGAGGATGAGGAGATGAGAAGAGGTTGCTACACCCGGTAGTCCTCCGCAACCCTTTCTGCCCAACCCAGGATGACCTTCTGGACATCAGGTTTCAAGCTGCGCAAGGCAGCCTCCCAATGCTCTCACTGCTTACTACTTAGTTTCAGTACTAAGCGAGTCTGGTTAAGCGAATTTCGGGTGAGTGTGAGTCTGATTGAGCTCTAAGCGCGAAATATACTTCAAGAGAGTGAGTGAGCTCCACATTTTTTGTCGACCTATACTCCTAACAATAAGGTACTGAAGTTACATGCAGTTAGCTACAATATGCAACGCTGCAGAGATCTCACAGGTAATCATAACATCTGGCATCCGCTGCAACTAATATTATCATCACACTTATTACCTCACTGGGGATGTTGACCGAATCGTGTGATCTTAAATTTATCGGTCAGTTGGCCAGTACATGAAAAAATTGCTGCGTATTGTAACTCCTGCCAATCAAATCACGAGCATATGTTATGTGTGGAATGTTCTTCTCTCTCACGGTGAATGTGCCTCCAAATATGCCTTTCAACTCTCACTATAAAACCCCTGAAATTACAAACCCGCTCCAAAATGCTGGGAAATTCGGATGGCTAACAAGAACTCACTCACGCGTACATCTTGTGTTGCATAAAAGTTGAAGCAGCACCAAAGCATACACACGCAGCAAAAAGAGGAGGCATGGGCGGCATATTAGGGGTTGGGGGTCATTTTCGGAGAAGCGCTTTGGCAAATGCGAAGTCACTCCGTGGTCGTCGAACTAGCGACAGTAAACACTCACCCTAGGAACGCTAGTCATGCGAAACACCTCAGTAAGTGATCGCGTGAGAATGATGCACACCTGCGAGTTGTGCTAGAAACAGAACAGCGTCTATCGAAACACAACGACGCGTTAAGCAGGCACAACCAGCCGTTAACGGTCACGACTTTCCGTAATTATTAATGGACCCTGCGCATCAAGATGAAGACGGTGTTTGCACGACAGTTCACCCGAGCACCTGCTACCGCAGTGCGCACTCGGCGAATAACACACTCAACGGTGTGCCGTGCTAGTCATATCCGTGCCTTCTCTCAATTTTTAGGTCGTGGGCTCCTTCATCGCATGGCACGGTTACGAACAAGGCAGCAGCGGCGCACGGCTTTAGAAATCACGAAAGCGCACGTGGAAACAGCTTCGGAAGCCCGAACGACGGAGGGGAGCTCATAAGAGGGGCATCTGTCAGCACGCACGACGACGTAACAAAGAACTGCGCGGAATCAGCTGATCGCTCAGCGCCCGCGATGCTTACCAACTCGAAAACCTCGGATCTTGCATTCATGTCTCGCTCATTACAACGCACTCGAGCAGAGACGTCTCAGTGTTCGGCCCCAGGGTGATAATTTCCAACGCTGCAACCACGGTAACAAGCACAAAGAGTACGAAGGTAACGACGAGTCGCCAGCCAGGCACACACGGGTACACAGAAACTACACTCCGTTGTCTGCAAACGCTGGTATCTGCTGCACGCGATGATAATCGCTATTGCTAGTTTCGGTTTGTTAGATGCGTGTTTCTTGGTTTCGTTTTGTCGCTAGCGCTTGTTTATTCTAATCCGTCGATACACGGTGCAATGCAAGCATGAAGATCACAAATTTGGCACCAAAATAAGGCCTATTTTTCACAATAAAGACGTTAGTGCCCTATTTTAGAGCATAATTATTGGGTACTTTACGGGCTTGTATTCTTTGTTTTACAAGAAGCCAAATAATCGATACAGATGATGATTAATACAATTTAACGTTACTTGCGCATTGTAGAATTTACGTGAACCACTAGGTGAACAAAAAACGTGGATGTTTTCGCTGTGCTAATCAGAAAAAATTGTGCATTTGTTAACAAATTGTCAATTAAAATCGTTGCCATGGGCGCTGCTGTGCCCAAATTTTCATACCATTTGATATTATAAGAGTCTGTGCAATGCATTGCAATGAATGAAATCTGTTGCAGTGGGGTTCTCTTCATTGCCAACCCATGGACGTTCACATACCTGTAAACCTTAGAACGGGCACTGTTCTCATTGTCACTTTTTTCTTCTCAAGTTTCGTTGCTGTGAACAACGGCTTGCATGCAGTGTTTGCTTCTAAATTATTACAAGTTTTGTTGCATGCAATGAAATGAGTAGAGGCCATGGAGGAAGGAAAAATAAGTATAGGCCATGGAGGAAGGCAGTTTTTTTCCTTCCTCCGTGGTATAGGCCCATTATACGCACCGTTATGGCAGCTAGATAGCACATAGCATTCTTCCTCCGTGACATAGCATGGAGAAAGGAAAAATTGCGGTAAGACTCGTTTTCTCCCATTTTGTTTCATTTATATATATTCACCATAGCAACTGAACCTAAACGTTTGCTTTTTATGAAAGTTTTGAACCTTCTCGGGACCACTTCAGGAACATAAGCGAGGAACTGGTAGTGTTCTGTGGGGAGGCCTCAAATAATTTTTTTTTTTTTTTGCCTGCTGGATGAGCCGAAATGCCCGTCGTCTATAGCGGCGCTATCTACGTAGGGTTAAGGGGTTTTGTACTTAGCCTTTGAGATTAGCAACTTTAGCAGTTTCAGAGGCTTTGTCTTGTATTGAAGGGGTAGCCTGTTGAATGAGCACAAAACGCCCGTCATTTCTGGCGACGTTACTTATGTCGGGTTAATTATAGTTAATTATACCTACGTTTACGCTTTTTAAAAACTTTTTACGTTATTTTTGTTGCATGTAGGCTTCAAAAACGCAAAAAAAAATTATTAAATGATAACCCTACTTAAGTTGCGTCGCCACCGAAGTTCCGACGACGGCCGCTTCTCAAGTGACCGCTGATTATCTGACAGGCAAGGGAAATCAAGGAGCCTGAGACAGAGTTTACAGCTTTATAAAATAAGGCAGATTGGCGACTCTCGCAAAACTCTGATGCTCGCAACCCATGTGCAGCAGCAAGTTGCAACCCACACATGGGTGTCATTTGCAACGATCCAGCGATAAAGCCCCTGAAAAAAACAGAGGCGTTATACAGCAACCATAGAGTATATTTAAGAAACTCTATGGCAGTGACAATAGGCGGCATTTTGATTTGAGGCAGACCGCAAAATGAGTCAACTGACGAATAGCGCACTAAAAATTTGGATAACTATATGATGTATGCTGGATCGGCTTTAGCTTAGACTTCAGAAAAGAAAGGGCAGAAACATATAAGAATTCGGATGTGTATTATTTTCTGGCAGTGCAGCTTATAAAATGAGAACTCTAACACTGCTGGAAGGAGAAGCGTTGCGTTTGTGTCTTGGTCTCCTTAAGTTTGTTGCAAACAACGAGTTGTATACATATATATATGGGAGCTCGCCTACCTTCTCTGCTAAATAGGTTTAAAATTCTTACTGTGCAAGCATTCTTAAAGATATACAGTTCACACCAAAAACTCTCATTTTACGCTTTCATTCAAGAACCGGCTTTATTTTTCGAAACCCATTGGTCGCGACTACACACCCCGCAAATAGTATTTGCAGAAGCGCTACTACAGCAATTGAATGTAAAAATTAAACATATTGGTCCAATACACAACCTAAAGTCAATGCTTAGCATACAATTTGATGATATATTTACTGATAACGCGAAACGATTGGCACATAGGTATTTAAATGACCAGTTAGCAGATTATCTAGCTCACCTAGAAAAAAGCAATATCATTGCGACTGATGCATCTGTGTCAAAAGAAAAGGCTGGGGTTGGCATCTTCTCTCCTTCTTTGGACTGGTCCTTTTCGATTCGACTCCCAGATTATACCCCGGTATTCATTGCAGAATTATTGGCCATTGTTCTTGCCCTACGCAAATTGCCCTCAAGCGAATCATTAGCATGCTAATGATTCGCTTGAGGGCAATTGTAATGATAACTGCAGTTATCATTACAGATTCGTTATCAGTTTGTAATGCACTTTCCGCGGCAGTAAATGTAGAGCTGATGAATACGTTTCGGCATTTAGCACCGAAAAACGTAAAAAAAAAAAAAAACTGAAATTGCTATGGGTACCGGGCCACCGCGTATTATATTTGAACGAAATGGCGGACTCTTTAGCAGCAGTATCCCTGGGTGGGCCCACCATCCCAGTTTTGCCAGATACGGCTTACGTGACAGCGCTAAGGTTCCGAAACGCTTGCCTGCAGTGGGGAAAATGTAATTTGGACAAATTCAAAGATTTAGAGCATTTGAGCTATTGCTGGAATAAACAGTGGTGTGTATCTCGCCAGTTAGAGGTCACTTATACCAGATTGCGCTGTGCTGTTCCACAACTAAATTATTACCTTAACAAAGCTCGACTCAAGGCGTCACCGCTATGCATTTGCTGCAACGAAATTGAAACAACTGAACATTTCTTTTTATTCTGCCATCGTTATTCTTATCAGAGAAAAAGATTTTTAGTAGCCCCATTACAAAAGCTAGGAATACAAGTAAATCTACCAGTAATTTTATCACTTGGCGGAACTTCATTTGGTTACTGCCACAGGGATGTATGCTCCACTGTGCTTGATTACATCAATGCAACTAAAAGATTACCGTGCTAGTGAACCCCAACCTTTTCAGATTTTTAGTTTATAATTCGTAGTTATGTCTATCAAAAACAAGAGATGGTTTGACCGCTTGCTCAGCAAATATTTTTGTTTTTTTTGGTAGTATTATTTTTGAACTACTTTTCAGATTGGCTTCATTTTCATTTTAGTTTCATTTAAGTATCCTGCCGCCCGGTTCTTGGCCCATCCCCCTCTGTGGGTGAGCGCCATCCATAAGAGGTCATCATCATCATCATATGAGAGAAAGAAAGCCAAGGCAACGTTTAGAGGAGGCGTTGGCCAAGGAAAGGGAAGAGCAACTGACGGAAACCAGCGATTTCTGCGAATCTGCGGTCCCGTTCGTTGTTGGCCGCCGTTGTCAGCTGCAGCGGGAAAGCCGTCAGCGCTTGCAGTTGGAATAAGTTGGCATGCAGCGTTTATTCAAGACACTCAGCGCCATCAATGGCACTGCGCGCAGTTCATTTTTCGCGCTGGACCGCAGCTTCGTCGACCGGTTCGCGCAGTAGCCCGCGTCGGCGTTATCTATGCTAAGCCTACTTAACCTACTGCAGCCGCTCTCAGCTGCTCGCACTACTGCCTGCCGGCGAGCCGGCGTACCAGCGTGACCAGCACCAGGGATTGCGCCAACTCTGGCTTCGACCTTGAAGTCTTTTTCTGTCGCACCTGCGCTGTCGCCAAGCGGGGAGATGCGGCTCGCTTGAGCACCTTTTGTTTGCAACCTGTGTGTTGTGTGCCCCGCTTAACCCCTGCCTGCCTTGCCATGGACCGAGCCAGCCGGGCCATTCGGCGGTAAGTGTGCCTCGCAAAACGTCTCGCACGCAGTAATCGCTGCTGCCGTACGTTCACGGAGCGTGAATGAGCGTTTTTGTTCGTTGCACTCTGGCATGCAGTGCAGTGTCGACTCGCACGAGTGACTGCCGTTCGGCGAACTAGTCTAGCCCACTCGGTCTTGCCGTGCTTGCTGGGAGGCACGTCGGGCGAAGGGAACAAACCGTTACACCGTCGCCGTGACCCGTAGACGCAGGGCCGTATTTTTGGGTCTCGTAGGTTGTTCGGGATGGTAATCTCAATGATGTGGAGTCGAAAGTTTGAGAAACACTGGACAGTGGCCTATGTTCATTGTTCCTGAGAGATCGTTACACTGATTTCTCGTTAAAGAACCCCAGGTGCTTGAAATTTCCGGAGCCCTCCACTACGGCGTCTCTCATAATCATATGGTGGTTTTGGGACGTTAAACCCCACAAATCAATCAATCACTAATTTTTCGTTACCACTGGTTGAAAGGCAGACACGTTTGGCGAAACGTAGTTATAACCGCACTTTGTTTATCCGAGTAGGTGTGCTTTCTAGTACTCTCCGGACGTTTTGCTGCGGAGTCCCAAGGGCAAAGCACTCCTCGTGTGTGTTTTGGCAAGCGACGCGTGGTTGAAATTCCCGTGGGGAGAGAAAATAAGGCGCGTCTAGAAGCACGTTTTGAACGTTTTGCGCATAATGATTTCAGTGTTGCTGGAGCTTGATATTGATTTCGTCTTTTGGTTGAATAGAACGTTCACTGCGGCGAGAACGTTCTTCGGGTGCATACATGAAAAAGGAATGCTCAACCAGTCAACAATGAAGTAGATACTGTAAAAGTAACATTAAAAAGGACCGAGGTGAAATTCCAAGACTGCCAAAATACGCAGGTAGAAAAATCCTTTCAAGAGGAAAAAAAATGAAAATCAAGAAATTCAGCATAATTTATGCATCAAAACTAGAAAAACTTTGTTTTGTACATTTCTAAATTTGACAGGGTCATGCCCAGTTACAGCAAGGTCTGGTAAACTATTCCATTCTTCAAAAGCTAATGGCAAGAAAGAGTCGAAGGTATTGGTAGAGCCGTGAATTCTTTGAAGGCTGGGTAAGCTTGACAGGTGGTGGAACGTTCGGTTTGGCAAACAAAAACTGGTAACATAAGTGTTCGAACTTATAGTGGAGTTTTTGAAAGAGGTGCGAGCCAGAGTTTGTCGAAGTGCTAATGTTTTAACGTCCAAAAATGATTGATGTTTTTGACACTCGGCCGATGGTCGTACTGAAATGTAATAAACCGGGCGGTTTCGGGTGACATTTAGTGGGTCAAGAAGGTGGATTCCATATTGCCGATGCAAATTACAATTTAAGGTGGATAAATGTGTCATATGCTAGGTTGCAGATCGCTAGTGGTGATGAGAGTGACTGTCTAATGACCCTTGGTACTTGTTAGTGGCAGGTACCAAATTATGAATTAAGCTCAACATGAAGGGAATGCAAAGAATAAAATATGAGTGTTTTTCTGCAATATGTGCAGAGACATACATTTATTGCCGTTTGGTTGCGCAAGCCGCGGAGTGCACCATTTCTTACTGGTAGTGAAGTCACGCTGTAAAAGCATCTCAATGATATGCACAGTGGTACAGCATGCAATCATTGGCGAAGAGCCAGATGGATGAAAAAATATCAGTGGGCAGCTCATTTATGTAAATTGAAAATGGAGGAGGTCAGAGAATTGAACCTATAAATATTTCAGATAACACTTAATGACTGTAGATTGGCATTACCCAATCTATATTGATTGGCCAATTAGGAAACAATGGATCAATGGCGAAATTAGTGAATGGATACATAAGCTATTTATTTTGATCATCAGCAGTTGATGAAATATGCTGCCAAATGCTTAAAAAAATTAGGTAAATTATGTTTGTCTGGAGGAGAGAATCAAGGTTTTAGGGGAGATGAGAGCAAGAAAAGTTCTTTTTTTTCTCAATATGACATATTTTTTCATTTTTATTTACTTTCACAAGTTTAGTTTATTCACATTTACGACAAAAAAAAAGAAATTTAACATCGTAATTAAACTTGAAGTCAGTTAGAATCACTATTGAAGAGCACAAGGTGGCTACTAAGAATGAAAAGGAACTCGTTGTCTAGAGTCCCCGGGAAATTGTCACCTGGCTACTTTCCATTGCGTTTTGCTTGAGTAGTTGAACAAAGCCACATTCTCTAGATAACTATTATTCCCAAGCTTTCGTGATGAAAGCAATCATTTCGAAAAACATATCTTTGCTCATAGATGACCTTTCACTGATACCTTTAAAGTAAATTTTTTTCATGATCCATTTTTGGGCAACTTTTTGAGTTGAAATATCACATTTTTAGTACTTCTTATGGTCAGACTAGAGTGAACTTTTGCCCACATATTCCTTAACATGTGAAGAGTACAAGTATCTCCTTTTGAACTTAATATCACATATGTAACTGTTACGAACATAAAGCAAATGGTTATTATCGGCTGCCAATTCAGACTTCTCACATTACTTCTCCTTTAAAATGCCTTGTATAGACTTTCTTGTTAGTTATTTGTATTCTACAGCTAACGTGGATCAGTGTGAGCCATTAATGGCTCACAACCACTATAGTTTAGTGGCAGAAAAAGTTTTCTAAAGGAACAATATTTTATGTATAGTCATGGTATAAGTATAGTGAATACTATGCAACTTACCATAAAACTGGGTTACATATTGGAATTGAGCATAAAAGCCTTTTCGTACAGCAAAAATTTTATTGCCCTAGGTTACAGATTCAAGAAACTTTTTTGGAGTGCTGTTCCCTTAAATTAAGGTCGGTGGTAAATTTAAAATGCTTGGTTTCACAACGAGCGTCTGGGGTGGAAGCAATGCTAATTTCTGAAAAAAAAAAAAAAAAGCTTCAAGATGAGGGGCAGCATGAAAGTAGATAACATGTTCAAGAAGTTGGCCAGCAATATAAGATCACTTATGAAACCGCTTTTAAATACTGGGACAACCTTGCTCAAATTCCAGCCGTTCAGAATTGTACTGGTTGTTGTGGACTGTAAAAAGATGAGTCATAGAAATTTACTTGTAAGCTCTAAGGGCTTTTGATGACCTTAGTGGCAATGTTATCCGGACAGGGAAAATCGAATACCTTGATTTCGTCAATCAAGACCGAGATGCCCTCACATGTGACACTGAAGGTGTGTAGGAGAAGTCACAGTCTGAAAGCAAAGTGCTGTTTTAAGTTGGGCTCCTTGGTAAAAACAGAAGAAAAATAATTCAAAACATTGGATCAATGCTCGGTAGGGATGAGGGATCCATCAGGATATGAGTTATATAACAAGGAACACTGTTGTTGGTAGGTGTTTTGAAAACTTTTTGTTTACTAAGAAGGTTTATAAGGAACCTTTTTTTCTTTGATTGCCGCAAAAAATTATTGTACTCTCGGAGGCAGGAGAAATACTTTTCCCATTTGGAATTGCAGTCGGAGAGTTTAGTCACTTGAAGAAAGCCATTTTTTCAAGTGGCTAAGTGGCTTTTCAAGTGCATTTTAACAGTGAAATCTGTTATGAGATAACAACTCGAGTCATGCGCAGTTGTCCACCGCTGCCGGTGTCTGTAACCTCATCGCGCAAAATTAGAAAAAAAAAAAAAAACCTAGCACCAAAGACACAGTGGGGCTCGAACCCAGGTCCACTGGGTGCTAGCCCAGTATTCTACTACTGAGCTATGCTGGTGCTTGTGATTGTTGGCAAACTTGCCTTTGGCAGGCTTGATGTCGGGAAAGCAATCGTGTTAATTACGACTTGCAAAGCATTTTAAAATAGCGAAAGAACAACCAGTCGTCGCATAATGCGAATGAAGTAACGAGCCGGCCGTCCAATGCTCCAACCCATTACAAAAGCTTGTTCTTGTTCCCCTATTAACTGTGGCGCATACCTGCTTCAGTCATAATTCCTCATCGTCGTCAGCCACTGCACGAACAGTTGGCACGAAATTCCTTGCAAGTGTTGCGGAATGCGACGCTTCTCAAAAGATTGACGAAAACTAGCATATTGAATGCGGGCCTACTACCCAACAGTTTATCATTAATGCCCTAGTGGGTATCAAGCAAGTGTGCTCGCAGTAGTTACCCAATGAGTGCTTTCAAGATGCTCTGAAACGCTGCTCATTTAGCTTTCGCTTTGACTGTGCTGCGCCTTACGCACAGGCCTGGCATTTTGTTCAAGTGGTTTCAAAGGCATTTTTTGTAAAGCACTTTTCGGCATTACATGAATTCAGAGGAGCCGCACGTATTGAACAAGCGACATTATTTCTTGTCTATCAAGTAACCAGTTGCTTTCTACATTTTGCATGGAAGCAAATTGCACAGTCTCCTCATCCATTGCAGTAGAAAAATAAGTTAGCTCAATCAATAAGTACCTCTAAATGCGCGGTCAGACACATCGCGGCCTGTTCATGCTATCAGCTGGCATATCAGCTTCTCTCTTCCGGTTGCTATATTTGCTCTTAACTGTTTGCCTGACAGTGCGTCCTCTGTCAGGCGATAGTTGTTTCTGCAAGGTGTTGTCTAATCTCCATGTCTTCACGTTTTGGCAATGCTCAAAGGAGGCGCTGCCACCTGTGCATCATGTATGATTACACGCATGCAACTTTCACGTTACCCTCTTGTTTAAAAATACCCTGTAACCAAAGGTGCATAGCCAGCGACCCCCCTTCCCTCTTAACACCAGCAGGCCTGTGGTAAGCAAGGAACTTTTTCGGGGTTGGTGCCCACTTGCTAAAGGTCTTGAAAAATATCTTTTTTTTCATTAGTTTTGGTAAAACACTTCCCCTCAATGTCAGGGGAAAGCCTGGGCCTCTGAGACCCCCCCCCCCTCCCACTCTCCACTTTTTTGGCTATGGGCTTGATCAACCCTTTACCCTTGAAGGGTAAATGGTTACATTCCTTTATCTTCTGCGAGGAATCCTGTTGCATACCGTTTGCTGGCCATTCTAAACCAGTTCCTTTTTTTCTAAGACCTTCTTTCACAAACAGTCGGTTTTAGTGTTCACATTACATCATTGAAACACTACCACGATTCATTAGGTTGCAGCCGTCTGTCATTCTGCCAGAACTGGCCTTGAGGTTATCACAGTGGCTTGCAATGTGTGGCGCAAGACAGCATATGTATGCCTGCCAGTTCCCCTTATGTCGAAGGTGAAAGAATAAACTGGGCAGATATTAGGCAGTCTTACTGCACTCGGCCTAGTTATATGGGTGGAAAGGCACTTTTTCTAAAGGTGGATTGTTTAAGGCCTCGTTAGGCCAGAATATGAACCACTCGAACATTTGACCAATTACACAATTAACAGTGAATTGTTGGGTTTATTGGTTGTGTCACATATTGTGGAATATGTGGTGTATGAGAGGGGTGTGTCAGCTATTTTGTTAAAAGGCCACTCAGCAGGCCCCATACCAAATTTTAGTTACAGTGGAAGTTGTTGGGTGTTCGATGAGGAACATTTTGCCACAAACATTTTTTGAATCGGTTTGTCACGAGCAGGAGAAAACGGGTTTTTCGAAGCAGCGCGAAACGAGGATGAGAGGAGGCAAGCTCGAAACTCTTGCCGGTCCTCCGCGTAGCCTTCGCAAGCCAAATCTCTTCCCCACCCTCTCAGGCATCCGACCAAGATGGTTACGTGCGCATGACGTGCCCAAACAAGTCCAACCCCCGAAGCGGCGTTGCTTTGTTGACCAGCATTATTTTGTGGTCTACTGCCTGTTTCTGCCAGATGGTTGGGAAACGCTAGCTTAGACACGGTTGAATAGATGAGCACAAGCTACGCGAACGCGTAGGAGCGTTCCACGATGGTCATCTGCTCAATGCGCTGACAGTGGGGACACGAACTGCATGCGAAATGCCGACACATTAGCCCCCCATCTCGTTGCAATTCACAGGAGAAAAATGGAAAAAAGACGCTCACATTCCCTTATTGTGTCTTATCATCTATTTTGAGCTTTTAATCTCTTCAAGCAACAAATTACATAAACTATGCATGCCGAGTTAAATAATTTTCGCCATGTCACGTGCCACTGTTTGCAAGCGTCAGAGCAGAGTCGTCTACATAGAAGACCAACGTCGCTGCATTTCCATGTACGTAGGGCCATTCATACGTGCACGTCATGCCCTCATTCTCTGGGCGTGCGCCTGCAGAAGGGAGTGGGGAGCAGCGTTAATCTTGAAATTTCACCCATCTCCACGGCGCGTAGCACTGCAAATTTTGGCAGATGGGATCATGAACGCCTCGGCTACGCATTGCGCTTGTCAGCTCAAAATCGTCAAACCAGGTGAGTGGCCCTTTAGTAGAGAAGTTGCAGGACATGTTTTGGGCCCAGTTCGAGCAACGGCGATCACAAAATGTGTGAGACCTGTGTTCCATGTGATGCAGTGCGTAGAGTGCACTATAGAGTTCTTTTAGTTCTATGATAATCAAAGGAAATCTGCAGTATAATTGTCAATGATGTGTTAGTCCTAGAACACTACATGCGGATGAGCCTTTGTCTTGTGGAACCTGCATCCTGCGTAACTGGTTTTCCATAACAGCGATACGTAGCAGTAACGTTTGGTGCAGGGAATTTTCCCTTTTTTGGGGAATTTTCGCCTGTCATTTTGAGCCAAATGGAAAAAAGAAATGTTCGAGCTATTGCAGGGAATTTTAGGAATGGTTAAATTCTATGATGACAGATACTTAGTGGTCACAGTGTGCCTTCATCTGCTGTAATCTGTTCTGGTGCATGCACCATGCAAGCATAGCCCTTCGTATTTGCTTCTGATATTTACGTGAAGCGATTTATAGTTTACTATTGGTGTTTGACTTGAAGCCCACAATTTGCAGTGAACTAACAGTATATGAATTTTAAAAAAGATTTCAAGAGTCACCAGTACGTGAGACACGTGTAATTATAATATGTGTGTGCACGGATGGGGGCGGAAATTAGTACTGTTGGACAGGGAAATATGCTGGGAATTTCGTCAACGTTTGTAGGGAAAAAAAATTCCTGAAGTAGGGAATTTTTGTGTCTCTGTATGTGAATTCTTCGGCGTAGTACGGCACCAATACACAGACTACCTGTGGGCGACAGTTTGCACGTATGCATCATGCCTGGTTGAGGAATTGAGTTTGTTCTTGCTTACCTTGCAGGAGTGGTGCCCGGCTCAAGGCACTGAACGGGGGTCACGCTGACCTCAACCTGGTCATATCGGAGCTCCGGGACATACGGCTCGCCATGAAGTCTTTCCTTACGGCACAGAATGCTGGTGAGTCCACTGACAGCCTCACACGGTGCGACCACAAAAACGTGGAACGTTAAAACTTGGAAGTGCAAAATCGACCACGGCAAAAAGGAACACAGATAGACAGGACAGGTCACAAACTTGCAACTAAGTTTTATTAAGAAGTGTTCCTAAATATTGAAAGATGCAGGAAGACTGCACCGGGCAGGGCCAGCAGAAGCGTTTATTCTGCTATGTCTTCCTCTGCTCAGAACAGCAATGAACGAGCTCAATGGCGATGATGACTGTTATGTACAAGTGAGAATGATGAAGTATGATAAATGTGCTCGTAGTATACACACAGCCGAGTGGCGCATGCAGGTGCATTGCACATCACATTCTATAATGCTATCAGGATCGGCAGAGCTGCGTATATTCATATCACAACTAAGTTTCTTAGAACAGTTTTTTCTTACTGTGCTGCACAACAGATGTGTCACAATAATTGTTGATTGTTGTCTCATTGAATTTGTGCTTCCATGTTTTAAGATTATGAACCAATCAGCCCAGCAATGCATTTTTTTAACCTCTAAAAAAATGGAATGTTGAAATAGTGCCCTTGGTTTCTTGATGGCACCACGCTGCTGACGAGTACCCGAATTCATGGAATTGTCCGCCTCAAGGGTACTGCAGTTACAGTGGTCCGCTGCCGTTCTGAAGGTTGCGGGTTCAATCTTCGCTGCAATGCTTGCGTTTTGATGCAAGTGAAATGCTAGAAGCACATGTAGTGGGCAATGCCAGGGCATGTTAAAGAACACCAGGTGGGCAACATTTGCTACTATGGCTTGTCTCATAATAATCGTATTGGGGTTTTTGCATGTCCAAGGGCACCGCTGCCTTAGGTTCCTGCACCCATGCTTGGGCGCACCCTTTGGATTTAAAAACAGCGCAAAAGTATAGACTGTCGAAGAGATGGCGATTTTTGTGCTGTTTTTACATCCCAAGCATGAGCTAGCCCAACTTTCGCCTCTAGTGTTGGGAGCACTTACAAAAACATTGTTTCTTTCTTCATCAACTCAACATCACAAAACTAGTCTGAAAACATAAATAACTTCTTGAAATGCAATCTTGAATTGTTCCACTTGTGCAGAATGACGCAACAGCAATAATTTATAAGTTAGAAAACTGCCTGCCAAAAAAAAAAAGGTGGGAAAACAGCTGTATTTGATCTGATGTCAATGACAGCATTTTTCTGAAAGGAGCAGTATTGGAGTGCTAACTAAAAAAAAAAAAAAACTTGTATATACTAGTTTAATCTGCCACCATAAATAACCATGTGTTAGTGTACCGCTATGCAGTTAGCACATGTTGGCTGTTGTCATCACTATGCATAGCATGTAAAATCTGAAGCTCGCAGCATGTACAAATGTGCAGTGTCGTTGCATTAATACGATCTAGAGGAGCTCACAGAGTACATCTTTGTGGATGTTTGCAGCATTATGTTGCATGTATATCTTTTTATCATAAATCTGTTAGAAAATATATCTCTCTGCAAAAGCAGTGGCACCTGTGATTGTCGTTAAGTTTAAAGAGTACATCAACATCTAATGGTCTTTGAGACTGAAGATCAGTATGGATATTTATATATATATCGCCTTCAGGCACGCATTATGATGCAGTGTCGACAAATGTGTCACATTCGTATAACACAATTTTGTGGCACTCAATATTACATTTTAAGAAAGAAAAGGAAGTGATATGTGTGCAATCAGGTTTTCATTGTAATCATTTTGAGAAAAGAAAAGCAATTTTTGAACGGCTCATTGAACATTGTAGTCCCTTCACCGAAGTGATATGATACGATCATACACAACGGACTGAGGTTAAGTTGAGCCATATTATCTGCACAGAAGGTCCATCTCATGAACAATGTAGTATTTTGTTCTCTCTCGACCACAAGTTGACACATTTTGCAAAAATAAATTGTGCACGCAACTGCTTCTGAAGGGGATACCATCAGGGGTTGCGTTTCTTTGAAACATGTCAGACTCTGGAATAAATCTTACACCTGTGATAAACTCCTGCACAGATTCCTAAAAACAACAGTGTAAAGAGATTTCAAGCAAAACTCTCTGCCAGTTAGTGTCTTCGCTTCTCTTTGCGCCATAGCACTTGAGCTTTAAGTAATGGGCTAGCTGGTTTAGCAGCAAGCCTTCTCGTACTTTTATAGCATTTGGGTGGTTTATATGCCACTAAGTGAACGCTGAAACATTAGCATAGATACATTAGCCTACTGTCTGGCTATCCTCTTGCATAACTTGGTGCCACGGGTCTGCAAACATAGGTGGAATTCACTCAGGCTCACTCAAGAAATATATCTAGCGCTTTAGACTTGTCCAGACTCACTCTCTTAAAAACTTTCCTGAACCGGACTCGCCCGGACTCAAACTCTCCAAAATATTACTCACCCTGGCTCATTCAGACTCATGATATGAGTCAGTGAGTTGATGTATGCACCAAGAGAGGGGATGTAAATGGTTTTAGCTTTGTCATAATTTTTTGTAAGTAAAATTTACATGTCACATTCCAGTGGCATTGAATACACTGAAAAGGGTAGAAGAGGTATGAAGGGCCTAGCTCTCGGCATTGTTATGTAGGCTGCAAAGTATATGCAGCAGTCCACTGTAAAAACACATTAAGAATTTTTATATTATGTAGCAAATTGACCTTGAATGTCTTACAGCCACTGTTCTCTGCTGCTACAAATTGACAGCATCTGTGGTTGGTACAGATGCTTGAGAACAAACATACCCTGCACATGGGGTGAGAGCTGGTTAGAAAATCTTTTACAATTAAATGTGTGCATCATGTGGCATATGTATTGTCCTTGACCCGGGAGAGTGAGGCTGTTGTTACGCATCGCTGAATGTCAGTTTTGTCCATTCACATGTCAGGTGCATTGAAGTGTAGTTCCTTGTGCTGTCATTTCATGGTGACTGCAATTGCCTTGACTGCTAGCAGCTTCAAAACTGCTTCGCTTGCAAACGCTGCGAAGCTTTGCATTTCAGTGTCCCACTTTTTGTTTCAGCATTTGATCGTGGTTCAGAAGTGTCAAGAAGGTGTTTTCAATAAGGTATTTCTGAAGTAGCTGTGTTAAGTAGGAAAGCTCTTCAAGAGATGTGGTTACGGTGAGATCTATTGCTTTTTCTTTTGACTTGCACTGTTGCGACACATTTTTGCATGAGGGTTAGCCAAGCTGCATGAAGTCATGATTCATCCTTTTAATCTTGCTTATCTCTGGATTTGTGCAAGCTGCCTTTTGTGCAAAATACTGACGAAAGTAGCTGTATTTGTTTGATAGCTATCAATTCGCTCGAAACGCCAACGGTGCAGCTGTTGTCGGACCGTTATTCTATGTCTTTTCAAAGGCAATAACAATTTCCATCTTGGGTGTGTAATCATTCATGCTTCTCTTGGAAAAAAAAAAAAAAGTGCAGGTGCTGTAGAGTTGCAGCCACCTTGACCCGCTGATTTGTACTGGCCTGTTTGCAAGCTCAGACAACTTTCACTGTGTGTCAAAAACTGCAGTGATTGAATTTCAGTATTGTACAGTGCAGCTTCAGGCACATGCTTGAAGAAGTTCTATCAACTCATTACTTTCAAACGATGTCTTATGCTACAAAATCTGCGTGCAACGTTACACATCAACTATTCACCCAGAAGGTCCGCTCTGTGAACCCACAGTAAGACCAATGTTGTTGTGAAGGGTCTCCTAAACGAAGGGATTTCATGCTTTTGAGACTTATCTCTGGACCGAGGCACTGTTACGGTTTGGGTCTTGAGTGGTCACGTTATTAATGGAAAAGTTGAGAAGGTGAGCTGCAGCTGCATACTACTTTACTGTACAGTTGGTGCTGGTTGCTTGTTGTTTGTCACACTAATCACAGTAATGTCTTGCAGGACGAGCAAGAAATTCGGTGCAGTAAGCATGAATGACCTGACACTTCGTGATCTGTTGTTAGGCCTGCTGTGGACAATACATGGTGTCACTGGAAGGCTTAGGTGCAATATGATCTGCAAAACTAATAAACAGCCTGCGAAATAAAAATTCGACAATACTAGTGTCTCTGTAGCCGATGTTTTGACAAGTAGCCTTTCGTTCGTTTACAGTTGAAAAAGAGTCTGTTTGTCGTAATGTCTGCTATAGTGACTACTTGGTGGTAAAAACTTGCAGTGTACATGTATCCCGAAGGATTACGGCCTCTAGCGTGGGTCCAGTCTTAGTGAGCCGCAGGGCACGCGTCAACAGTTGCCATGGCAAGAACACTGTACTTCTCAAGGTCGTAACACTTCATTGCCTGCGGCAACACCAAAACGCAGTACAGAGCCGTTGCAAAAGGGGCGGCGGGAAAGAAGATGGGCTTATCCACGCCCCAAGCGAGAAGTACTACACAGGGTGCCGCGAGTACATCTCCGTGGGCAAAGGTGATTTACGGGGACACCGGGACAAAAAGGCCCAGTCGCTGAAGTGAGGGCAAAACTCCGTTCGCGTTGGCTTCCGACAGGTACGGGTCTGCGTAGTATAACTACTCACTAGGACATCACACCGCTCTTCGGCCTAGCGTTCAAAAGGGGGGGGGGGGGGGGGGCGTTTGAGCCGGCGGACGGAAAAGAAGTGCATGCTTATCTCATGTCGTCCTGGAGAAGTTCTCTCTCACTCCTGACGCACGCGTGCGAACGTCCAGAGAAACTCGGTGCGCAGCGGCACAGTCGACATCCGCTATCGAGTGAGAGGTGTTAAACGTCAATCTCCGCCCCCCAGCGCGGCAGACCGCGATGGGGGGGAGTCATGTCGGGACACGAGAACACAGAAAGAGGTGGCAAAGCCCGACACAGGCGGCGAGCTAGCCTCGATTCCCACAAACTTTATCTCTTCAAGTTTCATTCTTTCGCTTAACTTCTGCCCTTTTGTAAACATCCAGTGAGTTTTTCTTGTGCAGTTTTTTCTCAATGGTCAAAATTGGTGTACGATCGGAGAGGCCAAAAAGAGGGCTGCCTTGCTCTGCAAGGGGCGGAAGTCTGATTCTAGGAAAGTTGTAGCGGCAGAACTGTCATTTCTGATCGAAAACATATCATCATCAGCCTATGTCCACTGCAGGACAAAGGCCTCCAGTCACTCGGAGGCCTTAGTTCCGCCAGTCAACTCGGTCCTGTGCTTGCTGCTGCCATTTTATACCCGCAAACTTCTTAATCTCATCTGCCCACCTAACTCTCTCTCCCTTTAACGTGCTTGGCTCCTCTGGGAATCCAGTTAGTTATCTTTTAATGTAAAACACAGACTTGACCTCAAAGGCCATATAATTTACTTTTGTTCAACTAGCAGTCATTAGAACTGTCTTGTTCATTACTGTTGCGTAATGATGGCTAGTGGTGCTTTGTCATGCCTAGCAATGGCTCGTGTGAGCCAACGGTAGTAAATGTTATTTGATTTTATCTGTTTGTTGTCTCAGTTATATCATCGAGTTGTCTACAATATGAAATGTAAAGTCAAGTTTGGAAATGAGGCTCTCTTTACTGTCCTTGAATTTTACGGTTCAACCCTTAAAGGAATGCTAAAGGGAAACTGAATAAGTTTAGATTGATAAATTGTTTGAGCACTTTATTGTCTGCAATCCCGTGACATTAGAAAATAAATTTCTAAAGTCACGGTATTGACTAAAGTTAGATTGACTGTGAAACAAAAAACAATTATGAAAGTTTCTCTTTTTAAATTTTAAACAAAGAAATCTGGTTACAAATTTCGATTTTATATTTTGCTTTTCGGCCGCATTGGCTCAATGTAAAATTCTGTATGCGAGATCTCTGGCCCTTTCAGAAGAAAGTATACTTTTAATTTCATTTACTGCCTTTTTAGTTTTTGTGTTCAGTTATCCGTATGAACACTAGAGATGTGTTATTCAGTGCTCTCCTTGGTTTGTTCTTGCAGTGGCCCAGGACATGGTGTTGTGGGCACAGGCTGACGAGAATAGGATAATTCAGGTGAGGAACTACTCCGGTTGTGCGTGTATATGCTTGTCGGATTCAAGTGGCCAAAGAAACACTTAATCATACATTTCATACAGTCAAACGCAGTTATAATGATCCTAGATATAACAATCTGTTATAACGATCCTATTTCAGTGCACTTACAATTTTCCTACCCTTCCCATTGAAACTGCATCCTTATATGGTGAACATTTGTCAAACCTTTGTACTTTTACAAATAACATTTTATATGCTGCTGCCATAAAAGTATGGTGCATACAAAGTGAAAATAGGCTAAAGGGATACTGAACAAAATTGTAAAATCTGATGTAACTTCGGAATTCTATTTGGAAGGTGCGACTGTTACGATAAACAGAGTTAATTTCTCGTATTTTTGAACAGTTGGCTGTATTTTTTCATAGATTGCCAACATGCTGTGGCTGCAAGCGAACGCGAGCTGTGATGTCACGATTGCTGAGGCGCATGTTGGATGCACATGTTCTTGCCCCCATCTTCCTTCTCTCCACCTCGGTTTTCATTACACTTTCCCCTTTCCACAATAACGCTGATGCTTTACCTCAGCCGGGAACATAGTTCGCTACCGGTGCTCTCTATACTGGTTCTGGGAACCGTAGGGGGAGATCATCGAGTCAAGAGACGTGGCAATGACTGACATTGTTGGCTTGACCACTTCAGGAATTTGTGGCATCGCCAAACACCACCACATATAAATCACGGTGTGGTCGCAAGACGCCTCAGTTTGTGAAAAACACATTAAATTCACTATTTTCCTGTAGTTTCCATCTGGGATGAAGGTTGTGTCTATCGATTTTGGGACCAAATCTTTTGATTTAGTTGAAAATCTTGGCAGCAAGAATTTAGTAGTATTCCTTTAAAGTGGGCCTTTTGAAGCGGGAGACAAGCACGCGTTCGCGCTTGCCCCGCTCCCGTTTACTTGTAACTATGATATCCTAGATTGGCAAGCATGCAGGTTTCAAGTGAGGTAGCTGATTTTTCAGGCATTTCTTCAGTGGCAGAATGGCAGCAATAAAAAAAAAAGAAATAGCTTCCGAGGACAAGTTATGTTTGGTCTACATTTCTTTCTTCTTATTTGTATTACTGTTACTTTCACATCTCCTATACTTTCCTTGGCATCATTTTTGTTAGTATCATTAATACTGTGTCAAATGAACAAATAAAAAAAAACGGGGCCTTAAATTTTGATTTTTTTCTTACTTCATGTGCAGAAGTTTCATAGAAGGAAGGGTCGAGAGTTTACTATAGCAGAAATTGATTTTCGTAAGAAAGCTGATAATGTGCCTTCACGTGTCTTGTGAATGGTTCTGTGGTGACGGTGCTTTTAAATAAAGCAAAGAAATCTTGAGGCCTGCACGGTACAGGCAGCATGGTCTCAACGAGCTTGAAGAGTAGCCATTGCAGAACTGTAAGCTAGGTACTTGCTGAGCCATAGATTATCATAATTTTTGGAAAGTAGGAAGGCACCCACTGTGCCATTATTTGTTATTCTGCTGTGAAGCAAAGCACCTGCTTCACATCTAAGGCATTGTGTGCACTTTGTTGACGCTGTGGCTGGTGACAATGAAGAGTTATGGCTGAGCCTTTTGGAAATGGTTGGAAGCTTTCAACAACCATATTTTTATTGGTTTCATATTGGGATGATTGGTTGTTTTATTCTCCTGCTGTGCTTTATTGCATATGTTAACTACGTTCCTTGCCTGACATGAAGCCTGTCCTTTTGCAAAAGAGTTTCAAGTGCTGGCTTGGCTGTGTGGTAGAATACTTGATCTCCATGTAGAGCGGGTTTAGATTCAAATGCATACCGATCCTGAATAATTTTTGTTTCTCATTCCGCATGATAGTGGTTACGGGCATTGGCGGGGGTGGTGGCATACAACTACTCCTCCAAGATCAGCTGTTGTGTGGCCTTGTCACTGCTTTTGCTGTATAAATTCTTCCAGTGGTGGTCACGTACTGTGTGAAGCTTGTAATAGCAGCAAACTATGAAAGCATAAGGAACTTGAAGGATGTTGTGAAATTCATGCTCAGAATGGGACTTTCCACACACGAGATAGCCCACTGCGCAGTGCTGAAGGCACAAAAGTAATTTTTGACCGGATTGAGTGTAATGTGAAGAACAGCTTATGGTGTCGTGCTGTTAAATTTAAAACAGTAAGTTCGGACCCAAAAAGAGCGAGGACCACTTTCGTCTGACCAAGCAGCGTGTACGTGTCAGTCTGCTGCACGAACCGCACGATAGCCACTATCAATTTTTGGGCAATGTGGAGGCGTTAATGTGGTAGTGCACACTTGCTGGTAGAAAGGAGTGATTTACAAAAGTTGGTTTTATTCCCTGCCTCTATTAATTGTGCAGGATGTGATGGCACAGTTGGCAGAACTGAATGCTCTCTGGACAGACATCCAGAAAGATTTCGTGGGTGAGTGGCACCTACCGTTCACTAGTTTCTATCTGGCTGGTCCATTGAGGGAGCCCATGTGCTTGGTTTGATAACCTATAATGTGTCAGTATGGCTATGAAAACATTTGGAGCATTTACTTTGGTGCTGTACTTAATTTCAATGTTCCAAAGAGCAGCTCAAGCACCCTTGAAACTTTTGGACCAGTTGGAGTGTTCAGCAGTGTATTTTCTCTTCAATGCGTTGTTGGGCCTAGTCCAGGGGTCAGCAACCTACGGCTAGGGGGCCCGTATTATGCGGCTCGTAGCATGACTGATGTTGAGCCCCTTTCTTTATCACATCCTATTCGAAAGTCGATACAGGCAGTTCTGGCCTAAAGTGGCATTTTTGCTTGTTAGTTATGTCTGATTGCAACTTCATGACAAATGTGCTGAAAATAAACGTGATTTCTAAATCAGTTTCCTCATTTGCCAAATTTTATCCCAATTCTCCTTATACTCCTCGCTATCTCTCTCCCTGATTTGTTCGGCCCACCACTGTGTCAGCTTCATGCAACCTGATTGAAATGTACGATAAACATGGTACAAGTCACTAAGCAGGAGCGCCAAATATTTTTTGCGCTACGTGATCAGTTATGAATTGCCAACATGGCCAAGTTCATAGTCCTTGTCGACTACAAGTTGATTATGTGACATAAACACCGTACAGCCTAACTGGGATAGAAAGAGGCCCACTATCACTACTACAGACTGCTAACTAGTGCCTGACTCTGTGAGGAAGGAATTGACTGCTAAGGGGGTACTTGGAATCTGCTATCTGTGTTAACTGCTGTGGTTGTAGCACCCCGACACCATTCACTGTTGCATGCTGCAGAGCACCTAAAGACGTTTCGGCACCAGTTTGAACTGATCCTGGAAGGGGAGCGGCAGGTGGATCACTCCCGCAGTGCCCTGGCTGCTTGTGAGCAGAAGGAGCTGCGCATCAAGAAGGAACTCAAGCGGGCTGCCAAGGTAGTGTGCGCCCACCTCTGGTTATCTCGTTGTGTAAAAGTGCGATGGCAGTTCACCAGTTGGACTCACTTCGAGTGCCATTCGATTGAAGCATAGAGTTTCCTAAAACTAACTAGGGGACTCTGGCACTGCGATCGTTCAGCGACCATAGGAATGACTGGGTAGTACGCGGATTTACCTAGTCTACGTGCTTGCGGGCCTCGAATGCACTTGTGGCTTTGTGTATTGCCGTGTTTCGGTTTTGTTTCGAATGAAAGAATCAGCTGTTGGGAACGTTTCATGACCTGATTTCAACTGGTGAGCCTAAAATGTTACGATAGGGAGGAGCAACTACTGAACATTCGCCGATTTTCGTTTCTTGACAAAGCAGCTCCAAGCCACGTGAAGCCAAATGTAGCCGAAAGTACGAAGCTTAGACAAGTCTGCATACTGCCCATAATTGTCATGCTCGCTGAAGCGCCATGCGTTACAGATCCCAGACAGGACGCTAGTACCAGAGTTCCCTCTAGTGTATATTTGTGAAACTTTATGGATAGAAGGTTTCAAGAATCTACCGGCTGCCTTGTACTTTCGAAGAAAAAACAAACGAGAAAAGCATTACTCGACAGTGTCGTGTGTTGTCTTGTTATTCTTCAAATGTAGCAGCCATGTGTTCCTGTGCAGAAAGCCACCGTGGAGGAGATAAGCAATCTGGAGCTGAAGCTGGCCCAGGCTGAGCGGGCTAAGGACCTGGCCCAGTTTGAGAGTGAGTGGCACTGTTTGCAGGCCAGTCTAGCAGTGCACGCATTGGGCTACTTCGCATTGGGGCACAGGTCTTATTTAACTGATGGGAAGTCAGTAAAAGTCAAATTATTAGCTACAGTCAAGCCAGGATATGTGGAACCTGAATAGGGTAAGAAAAGGTTCATATTGAGATGACGAGTAGAAATTTGAAGGGTTCATTTTTTTTTGTTAGATGCAATAATAATGAGAACTAACAGACAACACTGCCTAGCAAAAACATCACTTTCCTTGGTAGTGATGTCCCTCCCCTCTCGTAGTTCTCATTAATATGTTCAGGTAACGTAGTGTACAGTCGAATCCCAATATAACGAAGTCCACTACAACAAAATTTTGCCATAATAAAAAAATTGACCTCTTATTGTGTGTGCTGTTCTGTGACGTCAAGGCACACGAGTAGCAGCAGCAGCCTGCTGCAAGGAGCAGCCTTCTTGCTAGTTCACTGAAGCACATTCCCCAGCTCACAGTTCTCTCTCTCATCTGCAGCTAGCTGAAGGATGACTCGAATATCACTTCTGAGTTCGCAGACTTTGTTCAGAGTTTTGGGGAGGTGCTCTTATGCGGCCAAGAGTTTGCCAATGTCGCTGTTCCTGTTTGGTGGGGCTGAGTTAAAAAGTGGTTATGCAGTTGTATGAATTATAAAATTGGCGTGCTGTGGGGTGCCAGAAATTTGTGTCGGTGACTGATGATGCAAGGAAGATAATTACATAGCGGACATGGCATCTCTGGTCGTTCAATTGCACTAACTAGGACCTCTGTGGTGTTTTTGTTATGGTACAGCGCTCGGAGAAAGTTCAGGAGCACGAAGCGGTCAAGCTTATCCGGCTGAAGCAGGGTCTGCTACAGCTGAGCGATGCCTACCTTGCCCTGGCCAACAAGGGAGCTTTGCTGTTTGAGGCCCAGCGTGAGATTGCTGCCCATATGCCTGATGTACCACCCCATTCGGTCCTGCACGACTTCAAGTACACTGGTAAGGGGAGAACCCTCTTGTTGTTGAGATAGGGTGATTAGTGTGTGCTGCTCTAGGCAGCAAAGTTGCTTGTTGGTCTTCTAAGTGCCACTTGCAACCATGCATAGTGAAGCTGATGCTTGAGCCAGTTTTTTGTGATGTTTGAAACCGCCACTGCGCCAAACTGGATTGATGCTAGTCATCGACAGACAAATAAATCGCAGGTGGTCCACAAATCAAGTGTGTCGATTGCCGACACAGCAGGCCCATCACCTGCAAAAACGTTGTGTGCCTTCACTGCATAACAAGTTGCTAGTGTTACCTGCCTATGTACAACCCCGTTAGGGTGCAGACTGGTCTTTGGAACCAAAAAGTGACAAAAAAAATTATTTTTCAAAATTGACTATGTACAACCCCGTTAGGGTGCAGACTGGTCTTTGGAACCAAAAAGTGACAAAAAAAATTATTTTTCAAAATTGACATATTTCGTATCTGCAAGTGTTTTTCTATCTCTGCAAATTTTCACACACCAAAAAGTGGTAATTTTTTGTAATGTCATTCTAACTGTCCAGATTCTTGGTGCTGTTAACATGCAAAAGATGCAAAAAAATGGGGACCGACTTCGACGCTTTTTTATAATTTGCAGGCATCTGTGTTAGAAGCTCTGCTACGAATTTATGACCCCCTTTATGAGGATTGCAAAAAATGCACACCATGATTGTTGCTTTTTGAAGAAGCTGTGTGTTCTCAGCTTTTTCCATTTTTTTTTTCAAAAAAAGTAAATTTACGACATTTCAATTTAGAGGCCTCAATATCTCTGCAGCTAGGGCTGGTACAACAATTCTTTTTGCAATGGGAACCTGTATGTATGTAGTATGCAAGTATGGGAGCAGAATTTAAAGCCCAAGCCTTTTTAATTAATTACTCATCAGAATTTTAACACATTTCTAACTGCTTTTGAAAATGGATAGTTCATTTTGCTGTAAAATAACCAAGAAAGCCCCCCCCCCCCAGAAAAAAAACTTGAATACTTTCAATCTATAGTCATTAGTCCATGTTGGCATATCTTAAGTATCACTTTTAATTAAGCACTTTCTTTCTTTGGTGGCTTTAAACAATAGGGGGTAATCTTAAGTTATCTCAGGAACAAGATGAGTTACAGGAAAACTAATTAAATATTTGAATTCAGCTGAAAAAACTGCAAATTTATGTGCAGTTTGATCAAGATCACTGAAGAAATAAACAAAAAAATGTCAAGACCAATCTGCCCCCTAAATCAAGGATAGAAGCATACTTTTAAAAGCTAGTTTTCTTTGTTAGACACAATATTGAGATCTAACAGACTATGGTGCCAAGGAAAGAGTAGGGGATGTTATATGAGAAAATTCCAATGCAATTGTGAAGAAAGAAAAGTGGACGAAAAAAGTTTTCCTGGGATGGGCAGGGAACGAACATGTCACCTTCGAATAACGTGTCCGATGTTCTACCAACTGAGCTGCCACGGCGGCTATCCAACCGTCCAATGAAGTGAATGGTTTTCCGAAATGGAGAGACTGGAGACCCAGTCTCTATTTCGGAAAAAATTCCTGCGCTTGAGGGACGCAAGTATGCCCAATTGCTCTACCAACTGAGCTACCACGGGGGCTATCCACCCGTCCAATAAACTGGATGGTTTCCCGATATGGAGAGACTGGGGACCCAGTCTCTATTCCGGAAAAAAGTTACTGCGCTTGACCAATGCCCCTTATACGTGCAGGGATGCAAGCATGCCCGTGGGCAATTTGACGTGCCACTGAGCTAATCAATTGCTCCTTTGCCCTACGAAACGGTGTCTTGGCCCTGCGATGGTGCAGTTTGGGCCATGCAGTCAGCATTGACATTTTCCTGTACTGCCCTCTACTGTTTTCTAGTGCCCGAGACTACCCGCAAAAGCGGTGTCACTTTTTCAGCTACAAACTTGCGTTTTAAACACTGTTCTTGTTGCTACAAATCTGCTCCAAGTCCGAATGTTGCTGGACCGCCAGTGCTCCAGCATACGATATTTGCTTAACACATGCATTTTTTTCTTTCTCTAAATTTTTTTTACCCGAAGTCACTCTGACTAGTCGAATACCAAAATTTAAGTTGTTCAAAGGGACCAATGATGCACACCGTTTTTTTTTTTTGTTGTTTGCTTTATTTTTTTTTTAACGTAATGCAATGTCGCCCCTCTCGCTACAATCGTCGTGTTACGATAGAGTGAATACGGTAATCTACAAAATGTAAGGCGCGAACAGGCAATACTCACCCTATCCAAGTGGTGTCGCGTTTGGGTTGGGCTCGGGCTACGCAGCAGCAAAAAACTCAATTTGATAGCCTTTCCCTCGTACAGGTGGTGCCAGAATGCACTCAAACCTCGTTATAACGTGATGGAATATAACAAAATAATGGTTATAACGAAGTAAATGAAGTTCCCCTTGAAAGCTCCATTGGGAATTATGAATTTTAAACCGTGTTGTAACGAAGTAATATTGACTGGTAAATGGATATAATGAACTAAATTATTCTATCAAATAGTCTATAAAAAAAACGACCGTAGTGTGTTAAGTATATCGTTTTCTGTGGAGTTTGACGCTTGTTCGACGCGGCTCTATCAAAACTACCGCGCCGACCTTACAGCCATGCCACGCGCGGCTGAGAGAGCCGTCCTTCTCACACAGCCAGCGGAGACGATTGAGGAAGCGCTCAGCGGATCACATGACTGAGAAGCGGCACCGCGGCGCAAAGCGATTTCTCTCTCACTTACGTGCTTTGAAGATGACGGCAACGACTGCGTCTTCGCTGCTACTCTCTCAACCGAGAAAGGACGACTCTCCGCGACAGCTTTGTTTTTTCCCTCTCTCTGCTTGTGGCCTTGAAAGGAGAAGGGTCTCTGTGTGCAGAGACGGAAAAGGGAGAAGCATGGCACAAGCGCGTCGCAGATCGGCATTCGAGAGAGAGCAAGCGATCTGCCACAGTCTTTTTCTTCTCTTTTCTTCTTATCCTTCTTCGCGCGCAGCGTTGCGAGGTGCCGCCGCGGGATCGGGCATGGTGCTGAGAGCATTTTCGGAGCGCGGTATGTTCGAATTAACCGTCGCAAGTACTTGCGTGTTCGAATAACAGGGCGTTCTCGCCCATTGGAATACACATAACTTTGATGGGACCTCAGTATTAGTTCAAATTAACCGGAAGTTTGAATTCAACGTGTTTAAATAATGAGGTTCGACTGTGCTTATTTTTCGTCGCACACGTGGTCGCGTAGCGCTACATTGGGCCGCGAGGCAGTTTCCTTCTTCGCATGCTTATAGGTGTGTGCCCATCTGAGCATACATTGCCACAAGCTGTTATAATCGATATAACGAAATAATAAATATAACAAAATAAATGTGGCTCCCCTTCAACTTCGTTATAATGAGGTTTGAGTTATATGTGAAAAGTGGCCAGGGTCGAATTTAATTCTCTTGGTGGCATACGCATAGTTTCGCCGTCGCTATCTTTCTGGCCAGTCGATGATTCAGTGCCTGGATTTGCAGGTTCGGGGGCCATGAAGCAAGCCGTGCAACGGGCCAAGGACCGCGTGGAGCAGTACCACTGTTATCAGTACCGCCTCATCCCTCACTGCCCCTCTGTCGGTGAGTGAGGTCCTGCTGAACGTTTTTCAGCGTTTCATCTCTGCTGAGGGCATTCTGCGCAAACGGGTTGTGTTCGACACGCTCTGCCAGCTTCCCGCCTCTCTCTGGCATACAGGGTATTGTGCCTCGTGCAATTTCTTTATTATTGTGGGACCAGTCTGTTACACTCATAACTACTCTGGACCAGTCTGTTACACTCATAACTACTCTTTGCACAACCCGCGCCTGAATATCAGAGAACCTTCCAATATTTATGAGAACTGATAGACAACAACACTGCCAAGGAAAATAAGTGTAATGCCAATTTGAAGAAAGAAAAGGGGATGAAAAGGTAGCTTGCCTTGGGCAGGGATCAAGCCTGTCACCTTCGAATGACGCAACCGGCACTCTACCAACTGAGCTATCACGACGGCTATGCCCTCATCTATTTTATGGGGTATATATATGCGCATTTAACGGGAATCACGGCTCTTAAAAACAAAAAAATCGTGAGAAAATTGAGTTTTGAAAGAAAGAAACATATTTGTGTGTTGTATATATAATAAACTACCTATTCTGTAATTACCTGCACCTAATTCAACTGCGAAATGGAAAACGCCATTTTCGTGGCTGCGGCACCAAAACGCACGAGAAATGCTAAAATCGAACCAAATATCGCATGCGCGCTCGCCATTTTGAGATTTTGCGGTTGACCCGTGCCATCTTGAGGTTGTTTTGAGCATAAATTCTTTCTCTGGTTAGCCCTCTTGCAAAAGGGCGTCGGCGGCACAGTTGAGACCCTATTTGGCGTCCGTCTTCCCACGAAGCAATGCTGAGCGCTGCTTGGCCAGAGCAACGCCCTCACAGTGGGAGAAAGCGCATCCGCTATTGACTGCTGCGCAGCAGCGGGGGCTGTTGCTCCCTCTGATGGCACGCTCGTTCCGTGGTTGCTCTGCTACGTTCGTCTCGGCTGGCATCTTCTGCGCCTGTCTTTGATTTTCACGCTATCTTTTCGATCATTTTCTCTTCTTGATTTCTTTTTAAGCTGGTTCTCTGTTCTTGGTCTTAGTTGTTGTGCGTGATGCCGGCAATGAAGCTGAAGACAGCGCTGAGGTCCTGTGCGCGCAGGCACGCCATGCGGTTTGCACAAGCGTCGAGATTCCACTATTCTGCTGCCAGTGCCGACTGCGAAGGCGCTTGCAGAGGTGGAAGTGTGCCTTCAGTAGTCGCCAGTCAAGAGTCCGACACGTTGAGTGTGGCTGGAGCCGCAAATGCACTGAGTGTTCCCAATATGGTGGGACTCAGTATGTGCTCCGACTCCATGCTATCGAGAAAGACGCTGAGTGTTTTCGAAACTTTACCTATTATGCTAAAGATTTCTGAAGAAAACGCAAGTGTCAAACTTTCCAGGCCTGTTTTCTCAGAAAGGATTTTTTTGCTAGTTATGGTGCTGAGGAAAGCCAGAACTCAGACCGCTCATCAGATTTGTGTGCTGTTTTTTAAATTCTGTTTCTGGATTACTTTGCCATGGTGTACAGAGCTCTTTCTTTTTTGAATTTGGCGTCATTAATTTATAATAAAAAACATTAAGTTTTGATGGATCTGGTACTTATTAGCTACATCAAACTCAATTGCGTGAAAGTTTTTTTTTGGAGAGGAAAACGGCTTTTTAGTACCCTGGGATATTTATCAAAGAATAACCACAACGAATTTCAGCTTTCTACTATGTCCTGGAATATATCATAACTTCCTCAGGCACCCACGTGAACCCAGTTCAACCCAGTTATACCTCAATAACTTGAACTAAAAAACACAGCTTCATGAAACTTCGCAGCTCTGCTAGCTTTAGTGTGGTGAACATGCCCTGAAAATTTCATTCAGATATCTTGACAAATGAGAGTTTGGTCACTAGGGTCTCCTCCCCTATTAAACAAAGGAGCCTCAGTCAGTCAGCGTGATCAGTAGCCATGACTGTCAGTGTGGGGCACTTATTATCTGCCTGTTTGGCATCATGTAGCCCGTGGATTTATTACGTGCTGACAGCTGGCCAATAATTCCCCGTATACTACTACATGAAGGCACTAAGTCTGCCAGAATGATACACTTCCTATGACAGAAGGGTAGAAGTGTAAGGCTCATTTTTTTTTTGTGAGACACAATATTGATAAGATCTAACAGACACTCATGCCATGGAAAATGTAAGGGATGCTATTAGAAGCACAGTAATCTCTCTCCAACTTGAAGCCGTCAAATATGGGGAGATTTCCAAAATAAGTGGTATTTCGAGTGAAGCAGAACGCCAAACATGCTTGCCCAGGTCACTGTGAGAGAAGAGCCATTGCTGCCAGTGAAACCTCCACTGCACGAGACAGCTATCGTACTAAAGGCAGAAGATTTATTAGCGAGTAAAAAAAATTTATTACCGAGGATCAAAAAACAGCGCGATTCTCGATTTTGTCCCATTTGCGTTGGGTCCAAGGTAGGTGTTCCTAGCTTAAGGTAAGTTTCTTTTTAAGGTAAGTTTCTAGCTTCTCGCGTCATTATTTCTGGCGCAAAATCAAATTATACCATCCTTGTGAGATGAATGTGAGCGCAAATTGATGCTAAAATCGAGATTTTTTTCCACGCCGAACTGTTGCCGTTACACACGAGTTATCGTGTTCATCTTGGTCTTGTTTGGAAGGGTCGTTCCTCATCTTCAATTTCCCGCCACTGCTGGCTCGCCTTGCTCATTGATTTTTTAGCAAAAATGCGTCATCGAGAAACACTAGTGCGCGATTAAATTGGCTGCTTGAGGCGCGTGACAAAACCTAGGCATCCGATTGGCCAAAGGGCGCTTTCGGCGTCTGCTTCACCATCGCGACGCGCACGGACATGCGCCATTTTGTCATGGGGCTACTGACTGCCTGCGGCAGTAAAAAAGTTCCGTGCTACATTAATTTTTGAAGAGCGTGTGGTGGTCGTTCGTTCGCTGTGAACTCTAGAAAGAGCCCCGCTATGGCTGAGGACAATGAGGATAACTAACTCGATGCGGTCAACGGCGGTCGCAGAGTCACCGGTGTAGGCCTAACTCACGTATGAGCTCGTTGGTTGCCGACAACGTTACTGAGAACTTAGAAGTACTTGTTGTTGGGCTAGTTGGTTCGCTATACTGAGGGGTAATTCTAGACGCCTAAAGCACCACAGGAAGAAATAATCACAGAGAAAGAGCGTCAACTCGCAACTGATTTATTTGCAGGAGAAACGCAGGAAATATATAGCCGCACACGCATGTGCAGAGCACACTACTTCACCTAGTCATATGACCACAGACATAAACTGAGGACGTTCAACCGGCATATCTAATCAAGCAACGAAGTGCAAAAATCAAACTCACACTTGCGCAAGACAACTGACGTGTCACTTATACACAAGTCACCTTTTTTCTTTATCCAGAACGCTTCCATTATTTCACGAGCCAGAGCATCTGGGCTTTTGGCGAGGACAGAAGCGCTCGAAAACCTCGCCTCACAAGAACAGGAACGGCAATGCGCAGGCAAATGTGCTCCGGAATTATTTCGAATTGAAAGCTCATGTTCCCTAATTCTCACGTTCAAACACCGTGCGGTTTGGCCGATGTAAACCCGTCCACAACTAAGTGGGATTAAGTACACCACACCCACTACGCAAACCACATACATCGAAGCGTGTATTTTTCCACAGGTGGAGGCGCTCGGTGTTTTTTAGAAATGCGTGGGCATAGGCCAGCCAGCTTTCGTGGCGCAGAAAAAAACAACAGACACATTGTACTTGCTCGCCATGTTCTTAAGGTTGTGCGCTACCTTATGAATATATGGAACAACCATAGGTCGTTTATCCTGCATTTTCGTTTGCCCTTGAACTTTTGAAGGAGGGTTTCCGAAACTGATACAATGACAGAGTTAGGATAGCCAGCTGAATGCAGCCGCCTAACCTGATTCAAGTAGCTATCCTGCATCCTGTGATGGCAAGATTTCACTAGCGCTCCCTCGAGACACATGGTTGCAATGGCTCTTTTTACAAGTTTAGAATGACCTGCATCAAAAGGTAAAAGCTCTTGGCGCGAACGTGGATGATACGCCCAGCACACGTGTTGCTCCGAGAACATGATGCTCAAGTCTAAAAACTGCAATTTATTGTCAGTGGGAAGCTCATGTGTAAACGAAAGGCCGTTAGCATGTTGTCTGAAAAGTGCTAAAATATCATCCACTGAACTAGTGGTGGTCGTCAGAGGGTTAGCGTTTAAAATGACTAAAAAGTCGTCCACGTACCGGAAGACTTTCAGCACCTTTGCATCGTCAATTGCTTGAGCTAAAGCAGTGTTTAAGGAGGATAAGAACATGTTACACAGCACTGGAGAGAAACAAGAGCCAATGCAGATCTCTTGTCGCTGAACGTAAAGATTGCCATCATGTGATACAAAGGTTGAGGTAAGATAAAATTCCAACAACGTTATAAAGTTATCTAGAGATACGCCTGCGGCCCTTTCGAACACTAGAACTCCGTTCGTTTCAATAGAGGTTCTAACGATTTTGAATAGCTCCGAGTGCGGCACAGAATAGAAAAGGCCTTCAACATCGACAGAAAAGCCATACGCACCACCCTGGAGGCAGTGCAGAGTCTGCATAACCTCATTCGAGTTCTTCACTGCAAACGGGTCTCCGACTTCAACCGTGCTAAGGTGCTTGAGTAAAAATTTACTGACATGCAACTGCCACGAGTCACGTTCACTCACAATGCACCTGAAAGGCATGTCAACCCTGTGTGTTTTTGCACTGAAGAACACTGACAGGGTTGCTTGCCTGGAGGTGCTAATAGCCTTAGAAATTTTTAAAAGTTGAAGATCTTTACATAGCAGAATAGCTTTATTTAGCCTTCACCTTGCTTGCTTGTGACGTCGTTGGTACGAAGTTCTTCCGTAGAGCTTGAATAGCCTTTTCACCAAAGGCTTTGGCTGTCAGTACCACGAAACCACCTTCCTTGTCGGCTTGCATGAGCTGTAG